TCTCTCTCTCTCTCTCTCTGTCTCTCTCTCTCTCTCTCTCTCTCTCTCTCTCTCTCTCTCTCTCCTGGACTTTCGGACTCTGCGTAATTTTTTTTATTTCTTTTCTCTCTCTCTCTTCTCTTCTCCATGGACAAATCTGGAGCTCTGTAATTTTTTTTTTTTTATTTTTCTCTCTCTCTCTCTCTCTCTCTCTCTCTCTCTCTCTCTCTCTCTCCTCTCTCTCTCTCTCTCTCTCTCTCTCTCTCTCTCTCTCTCCCTGGACTCAATCTCTTCTGTAATTTTTTTATTTCTCTCTCTCTCTCTCTCTCCATGGACAAATCTGGAGCTCTGGTAATTTTTTTTATTTCTCTCTCTACCTCCTCCTCTCTCTCTCTCTCCATGGACAAATCTGGAGCTTCTGGTAATTTTTTTTTACTCTCTCCTCTCTCCTTCTCTCTCTCTCTCTCTCTCCATGGACAAATCTGGTTTAATTCATTTTTTCTTCTCTCTCTCTCTCCATGGACAAATCTGGAGCTCTCTAATTTTTTTTTTTCTCTCTCTCTCTCTCTTCTCTCTTCTCTCCCATTGGACAAATCTGGAGCTCTGTAATTCTTTTTTATTTCTCTTCTCTCTCTCTCTCTTCTCACTCTCTCCATGGACAAATCTGGAGCTCTGGTAATTTTTTTTTATTTCTCTCTCTCTCTCTCTCTCTCTCTCTCTCTCTCTCTCTCTCTCTCTCTCTCTCTCTCTCTCTCATCTCTTCTCTTCTCTCTCTCCTCTCTCTCCTCTCTCTCCTGGGACAAATTGGACTCTGGTAATTTTTTTTTTTTTCTCTCTCTCTCTCTCTCCATGGTCTTCGCTGTGGATGTTTGCTGTGGCTGGGGGTGAGGGGTGGATGCTGCTGCTGCTGATGATGATGGAGGCGAGAGGTGGCTGGAGGAACCTGACATAGGAACTGCATCATAGGAACCTGACATAGGAACCTGATATCACCCCCGGCCGCTGCCAGATTCAAAAGAATGCCGTGTCCATATTGATAAATCCTGTGTGCAATCGCCATTTCAGATTAAGGATTTCTGTAGTGTGATATATAATTATTGACTCTGATATGGGATAGACGGCATCTGGGAGACACAGTGGAGTGCTGCCTCACTTCTGGAAGGTTCTTAGCTCCTGCCTTGTGCCTACAGAACAGTCAATACGGCACACACTGTGACTCCCACACGCTCGTTTCTGTACTTTTGGGATAGCTGCTACAGGTGAAATTTTATCCATTGTGTAGTATTATTACTATGTAGGCCTAGTTTAGGAGATTGTAGAAATCTGTATAAATTTTGGATAAACTATTGATTAATTTTGAAGTAATTAGATTTAGTTATTGCTCAGTGAATTATTGTCATTTACATTTGGCACTGTTCAGTAGAGTAAGTAGTTCCAATTTGACGTTTCTTGTGGTTTTGATAGCTTCAGTTAGGTTAGAATGTTACTATGTAATGTTTTATTAAATTCCATTTCGAGTAATTATCAGAGAAGACAAGTTCATAGATAGAATGGAAAAATTCGAGTAATTGTTGAAGATGGAGTTTTTTCATGTGCTTAGCAGTGCAATTATGGTATATATAAATTATTATTATTATTTATTCTTATTATCCATGTTATTGTAAGCTAGCTGGAAGAGTTTGCCACGTATAGTCAAGAAGAGTCGCTATTAACACGCCCTGTCTCAGATAATCCAATTTAACATTTTCTTTTGAACTTTGGGAATTAATTTGCATCAGCACGTAACTTAATTTAAATATGAGATCTGTTGAAAGATAAAAATATATATCGCCGCGGCATTTCAATTTTGTCGTAATTTGCTATTTAAAACATCATTTTAAATATTAAATTTTATTTTATTTAATTAAATCATTTTAAATTTTAAACCGTATCCTGTCTCCCGTCTCCCTTCCCCCTTCCCGTCTCCCTTCCCCCTCCCCGTCTCCCGTCTCCCTTCCCCCTCCCCGTCTCCCTTCCTCCTCGTCTTTTTTAAAACATCATCTCGGGATGTCCAAAAGCCTTTGATTCGACTTCGATTACAACTTTGATTTCGAAGTTGAAGAATCGTTAAGTTCGATGGATGCCAGTTCAGCTCAGTGAGTTTTCGGAAAGCAATTTTTTTTTTTTTTTCATTATCCCGGTTCGAAATGTTGTTATTCATTTATTTATTTTTGTTTTTTATTTTTATTTATTTCTTATTTTTATTTCTTTTTATTCATTTATTTATTTTTGAAAGGGATTGATAATGGCGGACTCGTGAGATCAAAGAGAACCTGCAGATTAACTCTTCTCGCTCCTTGCACCACGTGGAAAGCCTAAGACAGTTAGCTTCCCATCATGCATCCATTTTGAAGATATAAGGCTTCATTTTGGGGTTTAAATAAGAATAGAAATTGAAAAAAACTGAAATAAGTCACAAGCGCTCAGAGGAGGGGCTTCAACAAAGGGTATGAGGGTTGATGGGCACAAAGGTCTATATAAATACTTATATAGACCTTGGATGGGCATTCCTTCACGCCTGGAAAAGCGAGACAAGACTTTGCCGACCTTCCAGTGAAAAATGGATGTGTATATCCTCCCAAAGCTTTTTTTTTTACGTGCTCTCTCCTGGCCACTAAAAGCAACGACAAAGCTTGTGATGGGTTATTTTTGAAGGTTTTATCTTTTTTGATAGATTACCACTTCTTCTTGGACTTTTATTAGAACTTTGACAGCTAACCGCTTTTCAGAAGTTATGATAAATGATATTTTAGCCATTACGATCTAGTGTCTTCCTGTATTAAAAGTTGTATTGTTACAGTAAAACTCATACAGAGGTTAGAATTTAAAGACGTTTAATGATTATGAAGATTCACTGTTATTTAAGTAATTCACAAAGATCTGACATAAGTTTATTTATTACAATACTCGATTAGAACAATAGTATTGCATAGAAACTGAGTTAGTATCAGATTTTTTTTTTAATAGCCTCATTGAATGAAAAAAGTCCAAGCATTAGTGGCATTCTCTTCTCGAGTGAAGATGCTGAGTACTAATGTTTTTTTTTTCCCCGTCTCCCCCCCCCTCCTCCCCCCGTTTTGTCTCCCCCCCTTCCCCCCGTCTCCTCCCTCCGCCTCCCTCCCCGTCTCCCTCCCCTCCCTTCCCCCGTATCCTGTCTCCCTCCCCTCCCCGTCTCCCGTCTCCCCGTCTCCCACCCTCTCTCCCCCTACCTCCTCCCCATCTCTCTTCCCTCCCGTCTCACTTCCCCTCCTCGTTCCCCCCTCCCTTCCCCGTATCCCTGGTCTCCCCCCCTCCTCCCCGTCTGTCCTCCCTTCCCCTCCCTCTTCCCGTATCCTGTCTCCCTTCCCCCCCTCTCCTCCCGTCTCCCGCCTCCCTCCGCCCGTATCCTGTCCCTTCCCCCCCCCCCTTCCCTTCCCTTCCTCCTTCCGCCCCGTATCCGTCTCCTTCCCACCTCCCCGTCTCCGTCTCCGTCCGTTTTTTCCCCGCCCGTCCCCGTTCCCCCTCCGCCTGGTCTCCCCTGTTTCCCCTTCCCCTCCCGTCCCCTCCCTCTCCCCCTCCCGTTCCCTCCCCGTCTCCCTCTCCCCCCCTCCTCCCGTCCCTCCCCTTCCCCTCCCCCCTCCCCTTCTCCCCCCCGTATTCCCCTTCTCCGTCTCCCTCCCCTCCCCCCTCCTTCCCCCTCCCCGCGTCCCGTCTTTCGCCGCGCTCCCCGCTCCCGTCCGTCCCCTTCCCTCCCCCGTTCTCCCTTCCCCGCCTCCCCGTCTCCCTTGCCCCTCCCGCGCTCCCCTCCCCGTCCCCTACCCCTCCCACCGTCTCCCTCTCCCTCCCTCCCTCCCGTCTCCCGTCTCTCCGTCCCTCCCGTCTCCCTTCCCCCCTCCCCTTCCCTCCGTCTCCCTTCCTCCCCCGTCTCCCTTCCCCTCCCCGTCTCTCCCTTCCCCCTCCGTTCTCCCGTCTCCCGTCTTCCTTCCCCCTCCCTGTCTCCCTTCCCCTCGTCCCGTCCCTCTCCCTTCCCCCTCCCCGTCTCCCTTCCCCCTCCCGTCCTCCCTTCCCCCTCCCCGTCTCCCTTCCCCTCCCCCGTCTCCTTCTCCCTCCCCGTCCCTCCCCCTCCCCCCTCCCCGTCTTCCCCGCCCCGTCTCCTCCCCCCCTCTCTCCCGTCTCCCTTCCCCCTCTCCCGTCCTCCCGTCTCTCCTTCCCGTTCCCGTTCCTTCCCCTCCCCCCGTATCCTCAGTCTCCCTTCCCCGTCTCCCGTCTCCCTTCCCCTCCCCGTTCCCCTCCCCGTCTCCCTTCCCCCTCCCCGTCTCCCCTCGCTTCCCCCTCGTCTCCTTCCCCCTTCCCCAGACCGGCAGCACCTGGTCCTCGCTTCCGGCGAACTCGTCATCTCTCGTCACCGCTGAAGACGGCCGCAGGAGTCTTCAGGTGCCGCACCCATCACGACTTCAACCGAGAATCGACTCTGTCAACCACCGGGCGCCTCGTGGTCTCCGGTAAGCCTTGGGGGGGGGGGGGGCAAGGGGAGGGGAAGGGGATGGGGGGCAGTGGGTTTTGGGGCTAGGTTAGTTTATAGGAGGAAGGAGGAGGAGGTGGGGGGGGGAAGGGGGCAGTGGGTTTGGGGCTAGGTTTAGTGTTATAGGAGAGGAGGAGGAGGAGGGGGGCAGTGGGTTTGGGGCTAGGTTAGTTTATAGGAGGAGGAGGAGGAGGTGGGGGGGAGGGGGGGCAGTGGGTTTGGGGCTAGGTTAGTTTATAGGAGGAGGAGGGGGGAAGGGGGGGCAGTGGGTTTGGGGCTAGGTTAGTTTATAGGAGGAGGAGGGAGGGGGGGGGGGGCAGTGGGTTTGGGGCTAGGTTAGTTTATAGGAGGAGGAGGAGAGGAGGACTGTGGATTGAGGCTATGATAGTTTATAGGGGGGAGGGGGACTGCGGGTTGGGGCTAGGTTAGTTTATAGGAGAGGGAGGGAGGGACTGTGTGTTGAGGCTAGGTTAGTTTATAGGAGAGGGGGGGGGGGGCAACGGGTTAGGGTTAGGTTAGTTTAATAGGTCCGTTAATCTTATTTCACGTGTCACTTTATAGTAATTTGATTAATGAATTGTTATGTTATATTAAGGTATATTGCACGGGAAAGGGCTATGGAACATTGCGCTGGGCTTGAGTTGAGTTGATTTGGGTTAGACTTGGCTCGGTATGTTTGGTAAGAATAGACTAGGTTTGGTGGAATAGGCCAGGATAGGTGAACATGTGCAAATAGGGTCAATATCATTTACGAGGCTAGAGGATAGGAATAAAGGAGACAGATAATAGAAGATTAGGAAATGCAGAAAGAAAATGGTGTCGGATGTAGAAGGTAAATGGGCCATAGAACGATAATACAATAGAGAAAGCAAAGCAAAGCGGAAGGATTTAATATAGCAATGATTAGGATCTGTGAAGAAAATGTAAAAGAATAATGTTAGAGCAACTTTTACTTGTTTTAATCATTATAAAAGATATGCTAACTTCAATGTAAGACCAATGTGTATTGTTATATCGCAAGAATAGGGTTCATGGATTTATTAGGAAAAATTGGGTTACGCGACTTGTGATGTATAATCTAGTTAAAAGTGTAAAGTTTAGAATGATATATTAGATTGTTAAGAGGGGGCTGGAGGGTAGAGCACAGTCCAAATTGGGAGGGTAATTTTGTGCATGCATCGTTGAAATATATTCAAGTAGATTCTGTGTTTATCATCTGGTTCCATGTAAATGATTTTTTTATCGGGCCAGATCAAGTAAACTAGAATTTGTTTGTTTTGAAATATGAAATACATTTGAAGTATTTCTTTTAGAATATGATGAACAATGGCAATCACGAAGCGGCACTTTTACGACGGGTTGGTGCAACTAAGGGTCAATATCCCATGAGAGCTCAACGTATATTCGCCCGTGCCTTCATAGGGAGAGGGTACCCACACACACACACACACACACACACACACACACACACACACACACACACACACACACACACACACACACACACACACACACACACAACACACACACACACACACACACACGGACATGTACATGTACACAAACTTACATACACATGAGCTAAGATTTGAGAGAAAAAACAGGATTAGTTACTTATTTTAGGATTATTTTTTTCTCAAAGGAGTAGACAAGTGGATTTCTATCTTGATAATTACTTTGTTAATGGCTTATCACTCGAGTCAGTTATAAGTAGATGTGATGGTCAAGCAGGACATCTGGCGGCAGGAAAGGCAAGTGTAGGATTTGTTTGATTTGCGTGATTCCCCCCCCCTACGCCCACCCCACACACATCACCCCCATCTTTAGGACTGTCTTAGATAGCATTTGGATATTCCTTTAGAATTTGGATATTTTTTTTTATGTTATATCAGCCATAGATGTAGTCAAGTTCGATGTTTGTTTGAATCTTCGAGTAAAGTGGTTTATTAAATAACTTTTTCAAAGGGTACACATATCTTACTATGGGCGCGCACCAGTGATATTTGTATTGTGATTACGTAGCATCAAAATTGAAGGCTTTGTGAGGTTGGTGGAACAGATAAGCATCGGGGACGCCTGATTGGTCGAGCGCGGACACCCTCAACCAATCATCTGGCTCTGTGATCGCGCACCCGGACTCACAACGCGGCTTTAGATTGTTTGCAAAGGACTCATATAGAAAAGGAATGTTGCTCGTGTCCGTTTTTTTTTTTTTTTTATGAATGCGAAGGAATTATTATGAAATGTATATATTTTAGAAATGCCAACTTTGGTTGTTGCGGAATCGTATCTTATTGCAAAATGACATTGGTTTTATATATTTAGGTTGAACTGCGACAGCGCGCGATTACCTGTCGTAGTATATTTGTCTAAGACCCTGTTCAGACGAGCGACTTTAGTGGCGCGACTGCTAGAAGTGCGACTGCCAGGTCAGTGGAAGTGAATAGGAGCGCACACACGTAGTGGCTTGTGGCTGGCCTGTGGCGCGACTCGAAATCCTTACAATCGCCCGACTGCTCAGCGACTTGAGGTACATGTGTTGCTATGCGGCCGCAGAATGAATGGTTAACTCCAGTTCCAATATCAAGAGTAATCCGAATTAGTAGCTTAGGATACCGTCGTGAATTGGGCAGAGCGCAGGGCGAAACCCATCCGATATCCGAAATGGCGCTAAACGTGTCACCAGCAGCCAAGAAAACTAGTAGTTGACGGGGAGCAGCGCCCCCTACCTCGCCACGCCCAGCCGTTCCCAGACTTTCGACGTGGCGGCAGGTCTCCCCTCCACGGCTCTGCGTGAGCTTTAGGTAGCGGAGGCGTCCTTGGGGGCTGAAATGGATTACTCCTTCGTCGGTGTTGAAATCTCAGCGGGATGGCGGGTTATTTTCTTCTTTTCTTTGTTTCTTTCATTGTTTGTTTGGGATGGCGTGGCTTGTTTTTTGAGAAAAGGGAGGCGAGCGTGGCATTACATTAATTTTCGTTATTATTGTTATAAGTATTTTATTTTTTATTTACTGGTCTGTATGTGTGTGGAGTTATTCGATAATGAAAACAGGAGTACCTTATCCCAACCACCACAAGGTACATGTTAGCAGGGTGCACTTCTCTTGGTAATTCTTGTAGAGGTTGTGGCACTGGCACCCCCTAAGTTGCCGGCTAGGAATAAGGCGCAAAAGTACGAAGTGGCGCTTTCTTTACGTCTTTACCCTATACATACGGGTACCAGTGGACTAAAGTTATCTGCACTGATGATCGCTTATGTTTTCATTTCGCGCCAACATTTCACGCTCAACCCGAACTTCTCCCGTTGCCCACAATATCGCACTCCCCTTCGCTTAAGCTCCCTCCCTTCCCCGCCCGTCCTCTTTAAGCTCCTCCTTCCTCCCGCCCGAGCTCCTCCCTTCCCCCGCCGTCCTCTTTAAGCTCCTCCTTTCCTCTTTCCTCCCCTTCCCCGCCCGTCTCTTTAAGCTCCTCCCCTTCCCCGCCCGTCCTCTTTAAGCTCCTCCCTTCCCCCCGCCCGTCCTCCTTTAAGCTCCTCCCTTTCCCCCCCCGCCCGTCCTCTTTAAGCTCCTCCCCTTCCCCCGCCCGTCCTCTTTAAGCTCCTCCCCTTCCCCCGCCCGTCCTCTTTAAGCTCCTCCCTTCCCCCGCCCGTCCTCTTTAAGCTCCTCCCCTTCCCCCGCCCGTCCTCTTTAGCTCCTCCCCTTCCCCCCGCCCGTCCCTTTAAGCTCCTCCCTTCCCCCGCCCGTCCTCTTTGAGCTCCTCCCCTTCCCCCGCCCGTCCTCTTTAAGCTCCTCCCCTTCCCCCGCCCGTCCTCTTTAAGCTCCTTCCCCCCCCCCGCCCGTCCTCTTTAAGCTCCTCCCCTTCCCCGCCCGTCCTCTTTAAGCTCCTCCCCTTCCCCGCCCGTCCTCTTTAAGCTCCTCCCCTCTCCCTCCCTTGAGTAAGTCCTAGGTTAAAGGTGGACGAAGTTTCCCCTCCTCCTCCTCCTCCTCCTCTCCCTTCTTAATCTTTTTCTTCTCTTCCTCCTCCAGCTTCCCCCACCCCACCCCCACCCGTCCTCCTCCTCCTCCTCCTCTCCCTTCTTAATCTTTTTCTTCTCTTCCTCCTCCAGCTTCCCCACCCCACCCCACCCCACCCCACCCGCCCCCCACCCCACCCCCACCCATCCTCCTCCTCCTCCTCCTCCTCTCCCTTCTTAATCTTTTTCTTCTCTTCCTCCTCCAGCTTCCCCCACCCCACCCCCACCCATCCTCCTCCTCCTCCTCCTCCTCTCCCTTCTTAATCTTTTTCTTCTCTTCCTCCTCCAGCTTCCCCACCCCACCCCCACCCATCCTCCTCCTCCTCCTCAGGGGCAGGTCCAGAGAATTTCTCTGGGGGGGCACAGGGTACCAACAATCCTTTTTTTTTTTTTTTTTTGGGGGGGGGGGGCATCACTATATATATACAGGGGGGCATCACGACAAGTCATTGACCATTGGGGGGCACACGGGGTGGCCAATTAGATTGTAAAGGCGGCAGGTGCCCCCCCCCCCCACACACACACACACGGGCACGTACGTACAGTACGTATGTTTAATTAAAGCGATTTTGACCCATGGTGGCACAGAGCCGGTAGAATTATCGGGGCCGAAGATGCCCAAGGACGACCTGCCGCGGGAACTCGTTGGTCGAGGTCGAGGGACGTCCTCCTCTGTCCCGCCCAGGCCAACCCCGCCCCCTCCGCTGGGTTCTGCTTCGTCGTTGTCGGTGTTGGTTTCGGATTTTATTTGGCGCCTCTTTTTTTTTTTTTTTTTTTTTTTTTTTTTTTTTTTTTTTTTTTTTTTTTTTTTTTTAGAGAGAGAGAGAGAGAGAGAGAGAGAGAGAGTTGTAACATGCGGGAAAGTTGTGGTTTTAGGTGATTGGAGAACGCGGTTCACTATGACGTCGGTGTCAGTTCGTGTTCAGTCGTCCGTAGCAAGGTCTGTAAGTACTTACATAGACCTTGGTCCGTAGTGCCTGTAAGTATTTCTCTGGCAAATGCAATATCGTGAAAATGACAGGAGACGAAAATATATCCGTAGTTTAAGAACAAAAAAAAACAAAAAGTACTTATGGCCTGACACGGGTACCTTCCCTCCCAGATTCCCAAGACGGAGAAACGTAGGACTAATAAGTAACCATTTCCCCCTTTGTTTAGAGCCCGTGGGACCCATTTCCCCCCCGGACCCCGATCCAGACCACCGACCGTACGTCAGTCGGTTTTCCAACACCTACACGCTCTACTGCCAGGTACAGGCCTATCCCGTGCCCACGTACAGGTAAATGATACTCTAGGAAAGGCATTCTGGTGTAGTGTGCGCGTGTATGTGTGTGCGCTTGTGTATGTATGTATTTGTGTATAAATGTGTGTGTGTGTATGTATGTGCGTGGGAACGTGTCAACTTTCCACACATGGGTGATGTATTATTGATAAAGGAGTAAAGGAAACTGAAAACGAACACTTAGTACTCGGAAACTTTGCCCATCTGTCTCTCTCTCTCCCTCATCCTTTCTTTATTCCCCCGTCTCTTTCGCTCCCACTCTCCCGTTCCATTTCCCTTCTTTATTATTCCTTTCCTCCCCTTCTCTTATTTCTCACCCAAGCACCGCCAAATCCCGTGGGACTGTCAGCGCCCAAATTCCCTAATATCGACTTGTCACGCACACAAGGACGGCTGGCGGGTTCGGCGTCCCCCCTGCGGTGCCAGGCGCAGGGACACCCCGCCCCCTCCTTCAGGTCAATGGCTCTGCTCCTTTGAGGACGCGGCCGCTCGAGGGAAGGGCAAGGTGAGCTCTGCCCTCGTCGTCAGGATCGAATGAGGTGTTTTTATAAGGGCAGTGGCAGTGGTATTGCAGTTGGTGCATTCGGTTGGTGTTCTAAAGGATTGCTTTGGGGGTTGCATCCGTAATGTTCGTCTCTTCGGCTCTTGTGGAGGCTATAGAATTTAGTGTCTTTCTTTTTGTTGGTATTGCTCCAATCTGCAACCTGTCTGTGATACATACCATCATATGATAAGGCAGGGGTTCCCTTATGATACTTTAGGAAGCTTTTTTTATCGACATGTGGTCTTGTTTTTGTCACTTTTCCCCCTCCTCCCTTTCCGCCAGTCCCCCCGGGCTATTCTGCTCACAATTTCCCCTTCAAGGGTGTGTCGCGCACTCCCTTATGGACTCGGTCACAGGCAGCTCGGTCTTCTGTGACTGCGCGGGGCCATCCCAAGCCAAGTTCAGGGAGGCACGAGTTGTTTTGGCGCTTACTTGTTACCTCTTCGACGATTAGGCCATGTTGTAATGGAGGAAGGGCCACGTTGCACCGAAGCCAGTTTATCAGAAAAGTTTTTATTTTTATTTTCCCCGATAAATTTGGCAGGGCCACGATGCAGTCAAGATTTTTAAAAAAGAAAGAAAAAAAAGAAAAAAAAATGTATATATGTATATATATATAAATATATAATATATATATATATATATATATATATATATATAATATATTTGTGAGGCCTTTTCACGTAACATTCAGGTCATATCCGGGACAGGGCAAATCCGCCTTTTTACGGATTAAAAGAACTTGTCATCCTTGGTTCAGATGCTGTAGGGTTATCTACACCAAAGCTGACAGGCCTCCGAAGACTTCACCAGCAGGAAGCTCAAGGGCGAAGGGAGCAGCTTCTTCCTCCTCTGTCAGGCGCAGGCAAACCCCTCCCTTGTCTTCAGGTAATAGTATCATGCAGTTTGTGATTATGCTTTCCACTTACAAGTTTTGTTGTCATGCGTCACTCCCGGCAGTCCTTCGCTCCTGGGCATGGGTACAAGGCTCCCGTCCTTGTCAGTTCAGTTCAGTTAGATTTACGATGTCTAGCTCTGCCCGGGCCTTTTCTCTGGAGTGGCCTGGCCTGTGTCAGCTCTTTCTAGTTGACGTATGAGCTGTATGCTTAGCGTGGAGGCTGATTTTACGCTCCAGTTTCCGCGGCGTAAGTATGTGGCATACCCTTTTTACCAGTCCGACGGCTGTGGTGGGAGGTCCCTGTCAGAAATTGCGTGTGTTCACGATTCTGCAAGTATTGAAACAGGGTGGCGTTCGGATCCCCGCAATGCTTACATTCCCTGTCAACCACGTCATCAATAATTTGTCATCAATAATTTGCCAAGTGCATGGGTAACCTAGTCTAAATCTGTGCAGTATGACTTCGGTACCTCTGTTCATTTTTGGAGGAAGTGCCTGTGGTGTCAGTGTACCATCTGGGTGAGAGCGAGTTTGTGGTATTTTCTCTTTGTGTCCGCCAGAGAATGGCAAGCGCTGTTGCTTTGGAACTTTGGCTCAGTCTTCTTTGGCTTGGGTTGACGATCATGGGAGTTGGGGGCATGCCCTTGCCCTTTTCGGCTAGTCTGTCAGCAAGCTCATTCCCTTGGATGCCTCTGTGGTTTGGGACCCAGTTAATGATTCTTCTTCTACCCTGCTCAAGGATCCTCTGTGCTATGGTGAGGACAGTTGTCAGGATGTAGATGTCGTCTTGTTGATTTTTGCTGTAGACAGAAAGGCTGATTTGGAGTCTGTGTGTATGACCAAATATCCTTCCCTTTGGGATGCGTGGGCCAAGGCTCCCGTGATCGCAACTGTTTCAGCTCGGAGCGATGAGACACTGACCCTGATGGATGTTGTAGCATCCCATGCTTCATCCTCGTCGTAAGCCTATCACTTACCCTCATGTCTAACAATCGTCGCAAAGATCCCATGGGTCTCTCAGGTCCAAAGTTCCCCGGCAAAGACATGTCAAGGACCAAGGTGAAACGAGCTGTGAGCTTCTCCTTCCCGTGTTAAGCCCAGACCCACCCGATGCCCATGTTCAGGTAAGGTCAGGTGTGGATGTGTTGTTTGTGTCTGGTGTATTACCAGGCAAAATGACCTCTTATTCTTTATCGTTAAATGTTATTGAAGCATTCGCTGCCCACATTTTTCCATTAGATAAATTCTTTGTCTTTGTATAAAGTAAAAAAGAAAAAAAAATGATATAAAGGCCTGAAATAAAGACTGACAGATATTCCAATACTTACCTTTTTTCCCAGGTGGTTCAAGGTGTCCGAAGATGAAAACCAGACAGCAGTGGAACTCGGCCGCTACGTGAGGCAAGTGGGAGGAACCCTGGTCATCATCAACGCCAAGGTGGAGCACTCTGGCAAGTACCTGTGCGCCGTCGAGAACGCTGTCGGTATCAGGGGCATCGATATTGAGCTCACTGTCACGGGTAGGGTATAAAAGTCCTAAGTATTGATATGTGCATTTTCTGATACTTACACATTTAAGAAAATTATTTATCATGCTATACCAGATTGTGACAAATATTTGTCTTTCAGAAAAACAGTTCACTATCATGGGTAATTATTTTTTTTCTCTCTCTCTAAGCTCCCCTAAAAGCCCAAGTTGAACCCAAGGTTCAGACCGTTGAATTTGGCCAACCAGCAACCTTTACCTGCAGCTACCAAGGCAACCCTGTTAAGTCTCTTACTTGGCTCAAGGATGGCATTCCACTCGGTAAGTCTTTTTGTACATTCAGTCTCATAATTCCTTAAGCTGATATTACTATATCTGGTTATTAAAAGAGAAAATAGATTTCTAGAGAATTCTTTTTCTTATGCCTAAAATTCACTGCTGATCTCCATCTATTGTAGAGATGGTACTCAAGATCCTTAGTAGAACAAAAGTTTCTGCTTTGCATACGCTGAATATATTCACTGGAACAAATCTTTTAATGGACTGATCTTGATGTTGTAGGGAATATTTAATATGCAGATTTTAAAGATGATTTAGTTAATTTTTTGGCAAGTACTCACTTCTCTAAATCTTATCTTTAGGTTGAGAGTTTACTCATTTTTGATTGGAAAGGTAATAAAAAAAATTCCATACTTTAGAGACAGAAGTGCAAGAAAATATTATTTAGAAAATATAATAAAACTAAATGAACTGGATCTGTTCCTATTTGGAAGTTGTCTTCGTTGTCTGATTTTTTTATAGACCACAAGGAAGCTGTTCTTCGCATTGGCACCGTTGGTCATGCGGACAAAGGGATGTACCAGTGTTTTGTTAGGAATGACCAGGAATCAGCCCAAGGAACTGCTGAACTCAGACTTGAAGAAGAATGTAAGTACATAAAATATGGGAAAAAATATAGGCCAGGGGGTAGCCAACCTTTTGTGAGATATGATCTACTTTTTCTACAGTTACCCTGATGCGAACTGCCAGCCTAAGAGTCAAACATATTCCATAAATGTGTAATTGTATGTTGTTCAGACATATCCATCATTATAAATATAAATCTAACTTATTCCCAGAAAAAAGAGAAATATAATAATACAAGTATCATGAGTACTTGGATATGCTATTGCAGCTATTTGCATGACAACTTCTGAAGGACAAATTGTTAATAGGTACAGCAGTGTGATCAACTTAAAACAGACTGATGTAGGCAGATGTAAAAATCACTGTATCTAAAATATAATTATTTATCATTATTATTACTGTCATTGTAATAATAATGATAATAATAACAATAATGATGATAATAATAATAATAATAGTAATGATTATAATAATAAAGGTAATGATAATGATATATTGATAATGATAATAATAATGATGATAATGATAATTATCGTTTTCATTATCATTAAAAAAAATCACTGTATCTAAAATATAATTATTTATCATTATTATTACTGTCATTGTAATAATAATGATAATAATAACAATAATGATGATAATAATAATAATAATAGTAATGATAATAATAATAAAGGTAATGATAATGATATATTGATAATGATGATAATAATGATGATAATGATAATTATCGTTTTCATTATCATTATTCTTATTCTTATAGTCTTTATTATTATTATTATAAATGTTATAATTATAGTTAATATTATTTTAATTAGTAGTAGTAGTAGTATTGTTATCATTATTATCATATATAATAATAATGAATAATAATAATAATAATATAATAATAATAATAATAATAATAATAATAATAATAATAATAATAATAATAATAATAATAATAATAATAATAATAATAATAATAATAATAATAATGATAATAATATTAACAATGATAATAATAATAACAATACTCTTACTACTACTAATGGTAATAATAACTATAATTATAACATTTATAATAATAATGATAAAGACTATAAGAATAAGAATAATGATAATGAAAACAATAAATTTATTATCACCATTATCATTATAATCATTATTATTATTATTATTATTATTATTATTATTATTATTATTATTATTATTATTATTATTATTATTATTATTATATTATTATTATTATTATTATATTTATTTTATATTATTATTATTATTATTATTATTATTATTATTATTGTTGTTGTTGTTGTTGTTGTTGTGTTGTTGTTGTGTTATCATCATCATCATCATCATTACTATCATTATTATTGTTATCATTGTTATTGCTATTGTTGATACTATTGTTATTATTGTTATGATGATCATCATTACTATCATTACTATTATTATAGTTATTGTTTTTGTTGCTATTATTATTGTTATCACTATATTATTGCTATTAATAATAATAATATTATTATTATTATTTTTTTTTTTTTTTACTGTTGTTATCATCATTATCACCATTGCTATTATCATTATCACTGATATTATCATTATCATTATTGTTGTTATCATCACTGCTATTATCACCATCATCATCAGTATTATCATTATTATCATCGCTATTGTCATTATCATCATTGCTATTGTCATTATCATCATTGTTATTATTATTATCATCATTGCCATTATCTTTGTCACCATATCTATTATCAATATCATTATTATTATCATCATCATCGCTATCATCATATTCATCATTGATGTTATCATCATTGCTATTATCACCATCACCAATGCTTTCATCGTTATCACCATTGCTACTATCATTATAATTATTGCTATTATTATCACCATTGTTATTATCATTTTCATCATTGCTTTTATCATTGTCATTGCTACTGTTATCAATATTGTTATTATCATTTCCATCATTGCTTTTATCATTATCATCATTGCTATTATCATCATCTTTACTATCATTGTCACCATAACTATTATCAATATCATCATTGCTATTATCATTATCATCATTAGCATTATCATTATCATCATTGCTATTACCATAATCACCATTGCTATTATCATTATCATGTTGTTATCATGTTTATTGTAGTTATTTTGTTATTTCTAATGATTTTTTCCCTCTGATCAGCCAAGCCCCCACAGCTGATTGACACCTTCCAAACCATCACTCTCCAACCAGGACCAGCTGTATCCCTCAGGTGTGCCGCAGCTGGCAGGCCTGCCCCTGAGATCACCTGGGAAATCGACGGAGCTCGCCTCGCTCACTCTGAACGGTTAGACTGAGAAGAGTGGTATTTTTAGACTGCTTGAAAGGGAATAGTGTAGGGATGATAACATGTGTGACTTTGTTCTTTGGTTATATCATGTGTTGAGGAACATTATTGAAGTAATTTCATTGTTTTGAATATTGATATAAAGGATGCAAAGAGCACTGTAGAAAGATATATATTTTTTTTAATAAACTTTCATGAAAATTTTCTTTTCAGCATGCAAATCGGTGAAGTGAATGGTGAAGTGGTCTCCTATTTGAACATCTCTGCAGTTGACACAATTGATGGTGGCCTCTATGCTTGCATTGCTTCCTCCACTGTTGGCTCTGTTCGTCATGCCGCCAGGCTCAATGTCTATGGATTGCCCTATATTAGGTGAGACGGGGATTTTCGGATATTAATTTTAATTTTGAAATTTCTATTGGTTTGTAATTTTCATCGCTTTAAGTATTATGGAAGGAAATACCAATCATTGAATTCTCATGACATTATTAGTATAAAAAAAATGATTTATAATAGACATTACCATTAATGTGACTCTATTTTTCCACAAAGTTGTTATACTTTGGAATGTTACTAAATGGAAATGCACCTACAGGCCTATGGCTAAGTCTGCAGTTGTTGCTGGAGAAAACTTGGTTGTACACTGCCCCGTTACTGGATATCCCATTGACTCTATTGACTGGGAGAAGAGTGAGTATGGTTTTATGATAGTTTTCAATGATGTGAGTGACATAAGAGTAAAATATTAATACCTTTAATTATACTTTTGTTAACTATATTGACAAGCTATAGTGTACCATAGATAGTTTCTAAAAAATTATTAGTCTGCACAGAAACAAAGATATGAAGCAGTATTTTTTTAAGGCAGTAATGATGGGAGCATGTAGGATTATATGGTTACTGTAAGATACAAGTTATCCATAATTTTTAGACGGCCGCATGCTGCCCATCAACCACCGCCAGAAGACATTCCCCAATGGCACTCTCATCGTTGAAGCTGTCCAGGGCTCCACTGACCAAGGAAAATACACCTGTGTTGCCCGCAATAGAGAGGGTTACATTGCTCGTGGAGATCTTGATGTACAGGTCATTGGTGAGAACAATTTGTTTGTTTTGAATACTTAAGCATTGATGAAAATGATTGGTCTATCAGTTTATAAAACAGGTTTTATGCTAAATATTGATCTACATTTGGAATTTTGCAATTTCATTCACATACCTAGCCTTCATGTGATATAGTTTGAGAAGAATTTTATTTTAATTCTATTTTATAGGATTTTTAAAAGGGATCACCATATAAGATCAGTCATTTTTATGATATTCTTTAGGTTAGATAGGCTCAATCTTTAGTTAATTCTAAATATGGTTAAAACCAAAAGATGGATATGTATAGTGTTTTTTCATTATAATAATGAATACTGAAATTGATGTTAAGTAAAGAAATATTCAACTTTTAGAATTTCAAACTTTGGTTACAGATATAACTAAAAAAAATCAGCTTCCATTACAGCCATTATTTTTTGTGTTTTTGAGGTCAAAGTACAACAGCCTGTGCAAATAAAACAATGACAGGTGTTTAATATTAATCCTACCAGCTATATGTATGCAATAACCATTCCTATGTATTACTTTATCTTTGGTTTAACATGTCCTGGAACATCCTGTGTTTGGTGGATCACAGAACCCCCTCATATCCACCCATGCTGGCATACCTGTGACAGGGAAGGAGCTTATAATCCCCTGCTTTGTTGTGGGTGGAGATTCTCCTCTTGCCATGGTATGGCAAAAGGATGACCAGCTCATCTCACCTGCGAGATTGGACTCCAATCCTCCTGACCCTTGGCACTCGCCTGGGGATCACCGGGAACATAGCCAAACTCTTGAGAAATCTTGTGATCTGCTCTCTAGTGCTCATAATGAGTCTGTGAGACTGAACTTGGTGGTGGTGGTGCACTGCCTCGCTTGGCAGTGCACCAATGGGGTGATCGGTACTTGGTGCTAAGATTCAGTGCACTTTGCCTACATTACTCTGGGAACTATACTTGTGAGGCTTCCAACATGGCGGGCACTGTTGGCTACACAGTCCCATTGGGTATTTTAGGTAATTTGTTGCAGTTATATGTATATATGAATATATGCACATGCCTTTAAACCCATCTAATTGATTACTCGCATATTTTGATAATGGAAAAGCAACTAAAATCTTGCATAATGATGTGAATTACTGTATGCAAGATTTTGGAGTGCATGGAAGAAAATCATGCTATGGATTTGTCAGAGTTATATCTTCCTGTTTTGTCGCTTCTTCCTGGTCATGTCCTCTTTCTTCATATTTCTATTTTATATTTTTGTGTACTGGACTTTTAAGTACAATTTGATGGAAGCTCTAAAAGAAAATTTCGCAAGAAAAAGGTAATTCTACTTCATGATTTTTAAATTATTTTGTTATATATATATATAATATATATATATATATATATATATATATATATATATAATATATATATATAAATATATAAATGTTAGTCCCTGCCTAGCGGCTTGCCATGAGGGATCCTCATTGGTGGAAACGAAGGGTGGATGATGATGATATGTGAGCAGATAGAAAGATTGAGAAATTTGTATTGTAAGTGGGGCAGTGGTGGATTAAGAGGTAGTTATTAAGATTATCTGTATATATGTAGAGAACAGTGCATAGTTTTTCTCTCTCTATGTGTCTTTTATGATTACCATAAAATGTAATAGAATTAGAAAGAAATCAGTTATAAAATATTTCTCAAGTTTTCTTCTTGCAATAACACTATAGTCACTCACACTCAGATATGTGTGCATGTGTGTGTAAATTTGTATATATATGTATGTATAGTATGTATATGTATATACAGATAGATAGATAGATATAATATATATATATAATATATATATATATATATATATATATATATATATATATATTATAATATGTGTGTGTGTGTGCATATGTTCCTTATTATATAATATAATATGCACAGACCCAGGCCAAAGCATCGGAACAAAATTTCACATTTATGCCTACATGTCCATCTACAACAGCAACAGTTGTGTTGTACTTAGCAATCTAGCATTTTATTTATTAGATTATGTGAGGTAGTTTTGCTGTTACAGCATGCACCTGTAACTTGAAATTTCATCTTCATGCTAAACCATCAAGATCCCACTTCATCTGCTTCTCTTGTCCAATTATCAGGTTTCAGCTACTGACTATTACGAAGGTTTCGTCTTCACACTCATACTTTTCCGGTGCCATCAGAAATAGTGCCTTTTGAATTCACTGAGACTGCTGGACGCGTTGGTGCTTTTGTTCAAGTCTTCTGTGTAGTAGCGGCTGGAGACACACCCATTATGAATATCCCTTGGCTCTACGATGGTGCCAGTGACTCACCGCTGGGCACTGAATCACAGATCATTGACAAAAGAACATCTTTCCTGACGATTGCTAGTGTGTAGTGGCTCCAATTACGAATGTCTTGCTCAAAATGGCGCTGGAAAAGCCTCCTTTGTGGCCGAACTTTCTGTCCAGAGTATGAAAGATAACTTGCATCTCTCAAGAGCTGAGCTGTTTGTCATTATGTAAAAGCCTTTGCTTGTCACTAACTAAGGGTTGACCTTAATGCTGGCTCCATCACTTATACGACTAATATCAAGGGAAATGTTTACCTTTCAAAAGTATTGTATATGTAAGAGTGTAATTATGTAATGAGATAATCTGGGAGAATATACAACAACATTTATTTCATATTGGTCCCATCCCTGCAGTGTTCTCATAAACCTAATTTACATTCACCGTAACATATATAAACACATCTTAAAGCCCTCCTAAAACCTAGCCTCATTTTTTTTAAGCAAGCAAATTGACTGGTACTGTCAGGATTTTTAGTTGCTTAGCAGATTAACCCTGCTAAGTCGCTGGGCATAGCATGTATGTATACACAATGGGCATGGCATGTATGTACATGCCACACCCATTGTGTGTGTGTTGAATTTAGTAATTGTTTATACATATAGATGGCTCTACAAGTACTGTCACCAATGAGCCAATTATGCGAAGTACCTGTCTCACCTGAGAGAGAGAGGGTGAGGAGGAAAAGGGAGAGAGAGGGGGGGGAGGAGGAAGAGAGAGAGAGTGGAGGGGAAGAGAAAGAGAGAGGGAGGGGAAGAAAGAGAGAGAGAGAAAGAGGGGGGGAGGAAGAGTGAGAGATGGGGAAAGAGAGAGTGAGATAGAGGGGGGGGGGGGGGGGGGGAGAGAGAGAGAGGGGAGGGAGAGAAAGAGAGAGGGGAGGGAGAGAAAGAGAGAGGGAGGGAGAAGGGGGTGGGGAGAGAGAGAGTGGGGGGAAAGAAGATAGGGAGAGAGAGAAGAGGGAGGGAGAGAGAGAGAGAGAGAGAGAGAGAGAGAGAGAGAGAGAGAGAGAGAGAGAGAGAGAGAGAGAGAGAGAGAGAGAGAGAGAGGGAGAGGAGAGGGAGGGAGAGAGAGAGATAGGGAAGAGAGGGAGAGAGAGAGAGTTATCTCCTATTTGCATTCCTTCTCAACAGGACATACCCCTGGTGACTATCACGATCTTGATGTAAACAACCCCAATATTAAGGTTATTGATGATGGACCTCTCCATATCAGCAGTATTCAGAAATCTCATGAAGGATATTACTTGTGTGAAGCCAGCAATGGTGTTGGTGCTGGACTGTCAACTGTTATCTACATAAGGGTCCAAGGTAGGCTCTCTTTACCTTTTTCTTAACACTGTTCTTTTTGGTATTTTTCTTGTTTGAGGATTTTTTTATGATTCACTACATTCATTATTAGATGTCAACTATACACTAATTTTCTCATTGTACCTATTCAGCTCCCTCACAGTTCAAGATTCAGTACCGCAATCAGACAGCACTACGTGGAAAAGATGCAGTCTTGGAATGTGAGGCTGGAGGAGAAACCCCCATTAGCATCCGCTGGAGGAAGGACAAGCACAGTGTTGACGACGCAGCTAAACCAAGGTGCCATACATAAATGAAATTTGGTAGCATTTTTTGGCCTTGTACGAACACCTTGTGAAAGACATTTTACTTTGGTACAGTAGTATGCATAATTGCTTTGTAATATACATGTGCAGTTCAGTACCTGCATGTGTTTTTGGTGCAATAATATTCACTTGTGTGTATATATATATATGTAAGTACATGTCATATAGTATATTAGACATATTTTCAGATTATCAGCAGCCAACAAGTTTGACTGAGTCATTTTACACATTAACTTCGGATGCTTTTAGACTTTGTGCCTAACACATTTAAAAACTCCCAACTGAAAATATAGGTACACAATCCGTGAAGAAATGCATGGTGGCAGTGTCCACAGCAGTCTTAGCATCAAGTCAGCTGATCGCACTGACTCTGCCGTTTACACCTGTGTGGCCACCAATGCTTTTGGAAGTGCAGATACCAGTATCAACCTCAGCATTCAAGGTATGTAAATTCTATAATGTTCTTGCTTTATCTGATGTTTTTGAGAAAATATGATTTTGAAAATTGATAAGATAGTTGCAAAGGATTTTATTATAGCTACCGTCTATATGATTATCTGTGTGCTTGAATGAAAATTCAAGTGATTGTCAATACCCACTGTAAAATCATGTAAACCAAATTGTTGTTATATCCAAATGAAACACGAGTTATATAATTTATTTTCATGTTTGCAGAATGCCCTGAACAACCCAGTAACCTTACGGTTCTCGACGTAGGCAGCCGATCAGTGGAACTCTCTTGGCCTTCTCCCTATAATGGAAACTCTCCTATCACCCGATACTTTGTGGAATATAAGCTTAGACAACGTAAGTATTGAATATACATACATGAATACATGCACAAATTGAGGATTTATATATACTATATATAATGTGTGTGTGTGTGTGTGTGTGTGTGTGTGTGTGTGTGTGTGTGTGTGTGTGTGTGTGTGTGTGTGTGTGTGTGTGTGTGTAGCTGTAAATGTGCACAGCTGAATATGTGCCCATTTATCAAAATACAGTATAATTTTTATGAATTATATATTTTATAGACATTACTATTTCAGATACTTAGAAAGTGATTTAAAGATATTAATATTAGTTACTCTATAGATGACTGGGAAAATTATGGAGAACGCATGATGGTGCCTGGAAACCAGACCCAGGCAGCTGTCTTGGATCTCCGCCCAGCAACTACCTATCACCTCCGTATTGTTGCAAGGAATGAGATTGGTGATTCTGACCCATCAGACATTGTGACTTTCACCACTGACGAAGAAGGTAAGCCCTCAGAGATTGCACAGAGAATACGCTGTTGTAATCTCTGCTTTCAATAAGAAGGGACAAGGACCCTCAGCTGATCGCATGCGTCTTTTGACTGAAGGATCTTTACTGATTCATGAAGTGTCTCATGATAATGCTGTACACCTGCCATGTTGAGAATCCCTATGGGCATAACACAGTCACACACACACTCTTTATTCAAGGCATGGAAAGTTAATAGTCTGTTTGATTTTTTTTATTTTTTTTTGATGTTGTTGATTTTATCCTTTCTTACTTTCTCTTCTAGGATACTAGTTGAAAAAAAGTATTTGTTACTTCTTTTATTTTCAATTGCAATTACTCTCAAGCACTTGGATGTCATCTCTTTTATGTGTAATAAATATAGCACTTTTATTGTTACAGTTACAGCAACTTCTCAGATAAAATTGATATCTGTGAATGGTTATTGATTGTATTTTCTTTCAAGATTACATTAAAATAATCAGTCTCATCATTTCCTTTGTTTCTCCATTTTACTTCTTAAGCCCCACCTCACCCACCTGAGATTCAGCTCCAGTCAAGCACCACCAATAGCATTGAGGTTAAGCTGACACCTTCTATGATTGATGACACCACACCCATTCATGGTTACACTATCTACTATAAGCCTGAATTTAGTACCTTGGAGACTGTACAGGTTCCAGCTTCCACAAGATCATACCTTCTAGAAGGGTTGTGGTGTGGCTCTCGTTACCAGATTTATGCTTCGGCTTACAACAAGTATGTTAAAGTTGGTTATTTGTGTCTTGTTTGTTTTAATCAGGAACATAGTGATTCCGTATTAGTAAAAGTTTAAAGGATTCTGAAGACAAATTCATAAAAAAAAATTCTGAAATATTATGAGGTACTATAAAACTGCTGTTTTTTTTTTCTTTATATGAAAGCGTATCTTTTTTTTTGTTTGTTTGTTTTTTTTTATACAGGAAGGGCACCAGTGAATCTTCTGAGATCTTGAACACGCGCACAAAGGGCAAGAAACCTGAGATTCCTGAGGTTCATCGTGTTGTGGAAGTCTTTCCAATGGCCATCGAACTCCACCTGGAAGCATGGGGAGATGGTGGTTGCCCCATGAATTACTTTGCGCTTGAATACAAACCAAGGTAGGAAAATTAATCGTTTTGAAATGAACTGGGCTTTGATTTCCTCTATAACCTGGCTATATTACATTTCAGTGAACATCAAATACCCCTATATGTAATGTACCTTCCAGGCACCAGACTGAATGGATAACGGCAAGCAACCAAGTGAGGCCAATAGGAAACTACATTATCATGGAACTGACTCCTGCTACCTGGTACAATCTTCGTATCTCTGCTCATAATAATGCTGGATCTTCAGTTGCTGAATATGAAGTTGCTACCTTGACTCGCACAGGAAGTAGCTTAACATGAATAATGTCAAGACAATATTAATAATTTTTAAAGGTTTTCAGTATCTTTGAATTTTGATGTTTGTAAACTTAGCTTGGTGGTTTTGCTTTGAAGATCCTGTAAGCTAAATTAGGTTATTTCTAGTATTATAAAAGCTATTGGATATGTGTCTTTACTCTGATGAACTAAAGCAAAAATAAAGTAAAAATCTAGTGAAAAAGTAAGTCAGTGTATGGCTGACGTTCATGTTCATGTGTATGTGTTCTTTTCAATGTGATATATTTTTTTAATTATGGATATGAAACAAAAATATTCATGAAATTACCTATGCCAATTTTTGTAAAGTAGTGTTGCATAGGAATATATTTATTACATATCAGTGAATCAATTATTTTGCGTTTAGTATCTCTTTGATAGCATTTTACTTTTAGTAAGGATAATATAAATTTTAAGGAAAGCTATATGATATAAAGCACACATTATTATTATTGTTTTATTATGTTTAAGATTTCTGATCCTGTTTATCTCTTCTATAGTTATATGAAAAATATTATATTAGCTTGGTGCTATAAGTTTATGTTTAGTGGCTCAGGCTTAATATATTGTTGTTTAATACAATGGCATAGACAAATGAAATTTTCTTACCTTGTACTTTGATCACCACTCGCCTCGTAAACAAACCAAGAAACCACAATTTTACACCGTCGCCGCCAACAAGAAAACAACACCCACTCTCTCACCAACCGAACGTTCTCGCCGTTTTCTTTAACCCGTAGCCCAAAAATTACAAACCGTTACGAGTCCCTACGAATCGTTACGAGCTACTACTTTCCTTTCAATCATACCACATATATATATATTATATATATAATATATATATATATATATATATATATAATTTTTATGATCATTTATTCATACTTCCTACGATATAAAAGGTGCATGTCAGAATTACTCATTTGAGAAATGAAAAGAAAGGTGAGTATCCCCTGGATGTAGTGCGCTTGGAGTGTCTGGGGCCTAACACCAGATTGCACCTAGTTCGGGATGGCAGTTTTTAGAAATGGATTCATTCATTGTGGTTCCCAAAGAATTTATTGTAGACTTATAAGAAGCACTGACAATAGTGCTGTTGTATATTTTTTTTTTTATTTCTTATCCTGTTTTTCCTTTAATGTTATTCCTTAAATTTTCTTTTGTAACAATATTCTGGGGAGAATCTATAAGAGTTAGAGGAGTAGGCATTAATCATATTTCTTATTGAAAATTTCAAGAATTTAAGGTTTGCAGAGGAAGAAAAC